GCCATGGGAGCTTGTATGTGCTGCCTCAGAGATGCCAGAGGTAGCAGGGGACCCAAGCTGTTCCCCCTTTATGTTTTCATTACTAATAAATTATAAGCATCCTTCATTTGGATAATTATGATTGCTACTAAAGTATTACCTCAAAAGGTTCATATTCTTGGGTAAAATGAGTGCCTTGTCTCTCCTCCTTAATATTCTTGTTGAATTATGCATTCTGTTTCTTGCTAATAGTAGAAGTGAAATCTCTTGTGCTTCTCTCTAGCTTTATTAGGAGACAGAACTAATTTTAAAGAAATGTCAAACCATGAATGCATTTATTTCCCTGAACTGTTGATGAGTAACTGCACTCTGGGGCAATGAGAGAAGAAAGGAAATGAGAGGAGGGATAAAATTTATCGAATGCCAGGTCCATATCCAGGGAATAGGCAAAGTGCTGAAATCGTCTAATCTCTGGAAACAGTGAGATAGACCTTTTCCCATTTTACAGGTAAGACACCAAGGCCCAAAATTACATAGCTGAGGGATGGAGCCAAGATTCAAAAACCTGGGCCTGATTCCAGAATTCCTGGTTTTGCTTTAGAAATCATCACTGTTACATTCCATTTCTAGAAAACAAAATGAACTAGGTCTTGTATTCTTTGAAACAGAAAAAGAAATCATCAGTGTTAGAGAAGACTTGCACAAGTGCCAGGGATCTGTGCTAACCTTCCAGGATTCAGAACTACAGAGCTGTTTTTCTTCTTGCCACTGTCTCCCTTTTCCCTTTCTCTCTCCCTCTTTCCCTTCTCCTCTCCTTCATTTCCCATGTTCTCTCCCCACTTTTCCTTGCCATTGCTCAGCACCCTCCTTTCTTGCACTCCCTTTCTCTGACAGTCTCTTCTTTTCCTGCCTACCTCTCCCCCACTGTTCCCCATGACCCATCACCATTGTGTTGTTTTGTCCTACCCTCTCCCCCTAAAAAAAATAAAAATAAAAATAAAAGCTGCAGGGGCTGGGGATGTGGCTCAAGCGGTAGCGCACTCGCCTGGCATGCGTGCGGCCCAGGTTCGATCCTCAGCACCACATACAAACAAAGATGTTGTGTCCGCCGAAAAACTAAAAAATAAATATTAAAAAAATTCTCTCTCTCTCTCTCCCTCTCTCTTTAAAAAAAAATAAATAAATAAAAAAATAAAAATAAAAGCTGCAGAGGTGACACTAAACTTCCTTCACAGGAGAGCTAACAGGGGTTCTTACCACGTGCAGATCCTTCTGGAGGATGTTTGTGACATGAAAAATGTTAGTGTTTCAGAGCTTCCTGTCCTGCTTTCCTTGCAGTCTGGTTTCTTTATTGGGTGAACAAAGTTGAACAACTGAGGGCAAAGCCTCCTTTCACCTGTGGCAGATGTCTCCCAGACCACATTCTCTTACCCAAGGAGCCTGGCACCTTCCTAAGACAAAAATTCACTTAACTACTTTTTTTTTTTTTTTTAACAAAAGCAAGAGCCTGTTACCAAAATGACTCTTAAACTCTTCTCAAAACTTCATTGCAAAGGAAATGAAACTATTAAAAGCCCATTGCACTGTAATTCAGGAAATTGAATCAACTTGTTTGGAGCCATAAGCAGAGGAAGACTTGAGCTGTACTGAGCCACATATTATGAGACTAAACAGTGCCCTGGTCTGAAATGATTCCGCCATGCAGAGGAGTCATGAGCTGTCTCAGCACAATCATGCATCTCTTCAAACGCTTGCTTTCCTTTGCTACCTGAAATTTCAGTTTTCTACACAGAAAGAACACTTTGTGAGATATTAGCACTTTGGGTGATTTTTTAATCATTTATTTAGATTTTCATTACTCTTCCTGTAGTATTTGTAGAGTGAAATATCTCTTTAATAAATAAAGGATATATAACATCCAGATTTTGAGGGGACCAGGGATAGCTCAGTGGTAGAGCTCTAGCTCATCTGGCTGCATGAGGGTTAGGGTTAGAGCCCTAGCACTACCCCACCCCATCACCACCAAAAATACACACTCCAAAAAATGTGTGTCTTGAGCATGAAGAATTTCATATATAGGTGTATTTATTCAAATAAATATTAATTATTAAAGCAGGGCAATGGGTACATGAGGGTTCATTAATGTTGTTGTGCCTACTACTGATATATATTTTTTTCTTAATAAAGGCTACAAAAATAAAAATTTTTATAATTGTGCAGATAAAATTAACTCACATTTTCTCTGTTCTTTCTGTACTGCTCCTCTCTGAGAGTACCTATTTAAAACACTAGTCAAATTGAACACATTTAGGACTGAAAAAAAAAAAGGCAGGAAGTAAAGTGCAGTTGAACTTAAAAGCTCCATTATGCTGCTCCTTAGAATAATAAAGTGTCTGACAAAATAGCCACAATCACACTTAAGATTCTAGACTGCTGTTGAAATAGTAAATACTGCTTTGGACCACGCAAGAAAAGCACATCGTTTTTGTTTTTGTTTTCCTAAAGCAAACTAAATCTAACTCCAGAGCCTCATCCCCAGAGTTTTCAGTAAGTGCCATATCACTGTTTATAAATACTCTCTTTTTAAGAAAATCTATCCAAAACTTGTAATTGAGGCAACAAGTTTGCCATGTGCCTTTCTATATTCTGTATTGGAACATTTATAAGATCTCCTAAAAATCTTTGTGCTCCAGGCCCTAGACAGTATGATAGCCACAAGTAGTGGCTATTGAGCCCTTGATATGAGGCTGGTACAACTGAAGAACTGAATTGAATTTATATATATATATATATATTGGGCTTGGGTTGTGGCTCAGCCATGGAGCACTCACCTAGCATGTGTGAGGCACTGGGTTCCATCCTCAGCACCACATAAAAATAAATAAAATAAAATAAAGGTTTTAAAAAAAGGTTAAAAAAAGTGTTAAAAATACTGAGAACTTAACTAACTACAACAAACAAAATCTCAATTTTTATATTTTACAAATTACAATGTTGTATATACAATGAAGTTTTTTGTGGGTTTGTTTTTTGGTTTGTTGTTTGTTTTGGTTTTGGTTTAGTTTTTTTTTTTTGATACAGTCTGTGTTGCCCAGGCTAGTCTTGAACTTGTAGGCTCAAGTGATCATTCTGCCTCTGTCTCTGAAGTAGCTGGGACTATAGGCACAGGTCATCATGCTCACCCTAACAGTGGTTTGAATGAAATGTTTTATTGAAACTGACTTCCAGGCTAGGGTCGTGGCTCATGGTAGAGCTCTTGCCTAGCATGTTTGAGGCAGTGGGTTCAGTTTTCAGCACCACATATAAATAAATAAATAGATAAATAAATAAATAAAACAAAAAGGTTCATCAACAACTAATAAAAAAGATTCTTAAAATGACTTCACTTATTTTTTTAAAGTTTTTAAAATGTAGTTAGTAGAAAATTAAAGTTATATACATATATCTCATATTTCTATTAGACAGTACTATCCTAGAGTTTATGAGAAGGAAACTTTATCTGACTATTTATTCCTGACTAAGGTCCAGGCTCAAGTTAGATGTTAGCCTGTAGACGACTAATAAGTCACAAGTAATTTCTATTCATAACTAAAGGCAACCCCAAGAGTTCTGATTGTATGGCTGCGTAGGTATTAAATAGTTTTGCATCTAACTTGGTAGATATCATTCATGTTTTATTTTTCTTAACAATTTAACTAAATTATCTGATGGTTGTACCAAGAAGAATTTTGTTACAAGTCAAAACTTTGATTATTTTAGTCTTTCCCAATTTTCTAGCTTATACTAGAAAGAATGATTAGTCCTACCCCAGGCATGGTGGCTCATACCTGTAATCCTAGCAATTCAGAAGACTGAGGCAGGAGAATCACAAGTTCAAGGCCAGCCTCAGCAATTTAGTGAGGGCCTATCTCAAAATAAAATATAAAAAGTGCTGGAGATGTGGCTCAGTACCAAAAAAAAAAAAAAAAAAAAAAAAAAATTAGTCCTATTGATCAAATGATACAATCAATGTAAACTGAAGTGTTGCTCTGTGAACTATTTATGTGTGTATCTGGAATTAAGTTTCATTGAATTGTCTTGCTTTGCTTCCCTAAAATCACAGTTTCGGGAACTGAAAATACTGATACTGAGTAACAACTGTTTTCTTTTTACATTATCTGCTCATATGTTTATGTAAATAAAGGCAAAGGAACTGTAATATGTTTTTAAATTCCATCCCTAAAGAAAACTTTGCAAAGGTCCTCATACCAGTGCTGACCCCCAGAATTGCCTTACTGTGGACAATGTGATCTATTGTTCTCTGTACCACATTGTCTAAGGAAGAGGCTTGCATGTTTTGTTTGTGATCTTTTATGAGATCCTCTTAAAAAAAAAAAAAAAAAAAAAACCTGAAGCCATTTGATAGTAGATGTGTTACTATTTCCAGGTAGGCAAAACTATTTGTAGCTTTCTGGAACACTTGCTTTGCTAACTACCCCTCCCTTTTTTGGTACAATACTGGGGATTGAACCTAGGGACCCTCAACAACTAAGTTATATCCCCAGCTCTTTTTATTTTTACTGTGAAACAAGGTCTCACCAAGTTGCTAAGGCTGGCAAGGCACTTGCAATACTCCTGCCTCAGCCTCCCAAGTTGCTGTGATTACAAGCCTGACCACTGCTCCTGATACTCTGCTAACAGTTTGAGTCAGGGTAACAAATAGGACCATGCTATGCATTGCGTTGTGTATTTTTTGTTGTCTGCTTGCCCATGGTGTCAGCTCACTACTGAGAATCTAAGGAAATAAGACAAAAGTAGAGGATAGCGTAGAAGACCTGAGGTTGAAGCTCCAAATCTTTTAGCTACCAAAATAAATAAAAGAACAAATACTGTAGAGTTGTAGCATTGGCAGAAGAGATGGTGTAGAGTGAGTAAAGCTGAATCCCCTTTCTCTTTACCCTTACCCCTTTGTCTTTTGCTTCTAGAGATTTGGAAAATTGCTATGACCATGAATTATTAGGCATGATGTTTTATTTTACTAGGTTGGAATGAAATATAGAAACCTAATCCTGAAACCCGGGGGATCTCTGGACGGCATGGACATGCTCCAGAATTTCTTGAAACGTGAGCCAAACCAAAAAGCGTTCCTAATGAGTCGAGGCCTGTGTGCTCCATAAACAGGATCTTTGGTAGCAGTCCATGTCTGGAGGACAAGTCGACGTCGCCATGTGTTACTGGCCTGGAAACTGAAGGGAGTTTGCAGATGAAAAATTAGATTTCTATTGACTTCTTTTTTTTTTTTTATTTTAAAACTTATACTTATGTAAATGGAATTATAAATACTGTGACCTAAAAAGACCTAATTGAAAATAATTGTACTATAAAATTTCATAAAAATGGATTTGATTTCTTTTGATAAAAGTTTCATATGAATGTAATTTGATTTTTTTACTATTATAATCTAGATAATATAATGTAAGAGGGCCAAGAATTTTTAAATTGAATCATATACATGATATAATTTGATCCTTCTTATATCTTAAAATTTTGTACTTGGGATTTCTGAACTGATAAATGAATCATCAAATTCCTCTGGTAAATATTTTCCTGGAGCCCTGAGTCAACTTTGATCCTCTGCCTCCCTGTAAGGTGTGACCTTGCCTTTGCCTGCATGCCTCAAGGCCAAGGAAATACGACACAGTAATTCCTTTATCTTTGTATACCAGGCCTCAAAGTTCCCAGCTTTCTGCCTCTTTATGTTATATTCCCCCATTTGGGTTTGTTTTCCTTTCTAATCTTCAGTTACAGAGTACCAAAAAAAATTTTCAGTGTGACTGCACTGGTCTAATGTATATTACAAGTTGTTTTTGTTTGTTTGGTACTGGGGATTAAACCAGGGGCACTTGATGACTGAGCCACATCCCCAGCCCTTTTTATGTTTTATAGAGAGACAGAATCTCCCTGAGTTACTTTGGGCCTCACTAAATTGCTGAGGCTGGCTTTGAACTCACCATTCTCCTGTCTCAGCCTCCCCTATTGGCTGGGATTATAAGCATCTGCCGCCAGCCTGGTTTATTGCAAGTTTTTGTATCTTGTATTAATTAGAGTCTAAATTCCATTTCAGCACACAACTATTTTGGTATAGTTGCCAATTAGAACATAAAGTGAGTTCAGACTCTGTGTGTGTGTGTGTGTGTGTGTGTATATATGTGCACGAATGCACACATGTACGCAGACTGGCATTAAACCCAGGGGCACTCTACAACTGAACAAATCTTTTTATTTTTTGCTGTGAGACAGGGACTTCTTAAATCACAGAGGCTGGACTCAAACTTGTAGTCCTCCTGCCTCAGCCTCCTAAGAAACTGAATTTAATGTCAAGTGCTTCCTGCCCAGCTAGGCATCTTTTTTAGGGGCGGGAACTCAGGGGCACTCGACCACTGAGCCACATCCCCAGCCCTATTTTTATTTTATTTAGAGACAGGGTCTCACTGAGTTGCTTAGCACCTTGCTTTTGCCGAGGCTGGCTTTGAACCACAATCCTCCTGCCTCAGCCTCCTGAGCCACTGGGATTAGAGGTGTGTGCCACCGCATCTGGCCTAGCCAGGCATCTTTTTGATTCTCATGTTTCTAATAAGGGGTAGTGATGTTGCCTCTTTTATTGATCACCTTTCTGCAGATGACAAATAGACATGTCACAGTGGCTATTTAGAGTTCAGTAGGGAAGAGAGCTGGTGCTAATGTGGCCATAAAGAAACTGCAGAAGAGGAGTCAGTTCAGGCAGAGCGTTTGAGGACAGCTGCTCTGCTCTGGTGCTATGAGGTACTTAAATTCGGCCTTGGGGAAGAGGCTCCTCCATAGCCTGTTTCATCTGGTGATTTTTTCTTTTTAAGTGAACCTTTAGATTTCTCTTTAACTCAGTTTACTGTGGGCCTAAATTCCAATTCTGCAGCAGAGCAATAAACTCATAGTACTGATTTTTCCTATAGGAATCCACTCACTAAAAAAACCAAGACAGGATTTTTTTTTTTTTCAGTAAACTTGTTTTGTGTTTGTTGTCATTGGAGTGGAGGTGCTGCTGGGAATCAATTGCAAGGCAAGTGCTGTACCTCCAAGGCACAACCCAGACCCCAAATAAACTTTATGCTCTGCATAGAACCTTTCTTTGCTCTTATCCAAGTGGACTTTGTGTTAAGTTAAACAATTATTATGTTACATAATAAAATTTAAGACAGCAGGGTAAACCAAAAGCTGTAGCAGCAACACAGAAGGAAATTTTGAGACTAATATTGCCAAGCAAATACCTTAAAACATCCACATGAAATCCTACCTTCCTTTCCAAGATTAGTTCCCTGGCCCTCACTCTGCGTCACTGTCTCTGGTCACCAAAGCTGTTTTTGTGGTATTTTTCTCTCCTAGACTCAGATTCTGTTTTCCACTTTCAGACAAAAACCAAAAACTCTCTTCAGTTTTTTCTCTTGCCCAATGTCTTTTTCACAATGACTTTGGCATTTTAAACCTTCACTTATTTCACATGGAAAAACTAATTGTTGTGGAAAAGATTGCACACAATAAAGTTACATTATTGTCCACGAAAATGAACTCACATTTCTTTCATACTTTAATGTTAAAACTAAAATGCATGACAGAGCAAAAGCACGAAAGTGTTCTTGTTTAGGTCTACCTCTAATATTTTAAGTCTACCAAAGTACAGAGCAAAATCAAATATTCATTAAAAATATTCACTAACATAATGAAAAGATAAGGACTTACTTTTTAAAGCCTTCTTAAATATGTCTATCCATCAACTTGTTCTTTTTCTCCCTTGAGTTCAGGGAGTCAATGAGATGTTCTGAATGGAGAATACCTATAAAAGCTGCAATTGGGCAAACTTACAATTCATATTTATGATCTGAGCCACATATAATAAAGTCTTTCTTGGTTATTGATCCAGAAGATTAGGGCCTGTTTGGGGGATTTTTCCAAGCTAAGAGGCAAGTTCTTAAAACAGCTTATGCTAATGTATAGTAGTCATGATTCCTAAGGTTTGATTCTAAGATGCTACAGAGAAAGAAGAGTCTTAATGTGATGCCATCTGAAATAGGTTTTTCTCCCCTATTGTAAATATTAAGTGTTACCTAAATAGCTAAAAATTATCTTAAAGAGTTACCACCTGAGCTACTTATGCCCAGGTTTTGCTTTTCTAAAGCTAATAGGAAGAAAGATGGATACTCATTGCTCTGTAGACAAGAAATTGCATTATGCAGGAAGCCAAAACTGAGAAAATAGCTCTTTAAGAAAAATTACTGATGTGATCTTTGTATTTGTAAACGCCTTAACTAATAGGGAAATTCTTAATTTTCTACTTTACCATTTTTGCCTTTAACCTTTGTGTATGAATTCAAGGTTTGTGGAGGTGATGGCTCCCCACTGGATCAGTGGGTTTATATAGGAATTTTTTCTTTCTCTGTCGTACACAAGTGTAATTTGCCATGCTCCAAGAAAATTGCATTTAAAATTGCATCAAAATGCTGTTTTCATTTGGCTTGCAATAACAAACCACCACAAACTAAAACAGATATTTAAAAGCTGGGCTTGGTAGCACATACCTGTAGTGCCTGCTACTCAGGTGGGAAAATCACTTGAGCCCAGGAGTTTGAGACCAGCCTGGGTAACATACTGAGACCCCCATCTCAAAAAGAAGCAAACAGAAAAAAAAGATAAAATTATTTCTCACAATACTGTAAGTTGGGAAGTCCCACAGACTAGGACTCAACCCTCACAACTTCATCTAAACCCGATCACCTCCCAAAAGTCCTCCTCCTCTAACCAGCAATGACGGTTAGGGCTTCAACACATGGATTGTTCCTTGGGGGCGGGGTGTGGGGATAGCAGCCTACAAATATTCATTTCATAACTAATGCTAGTCCTGCAAATTGGATTTAAGCATAGTTAACTGAGCCCCAAAGAATGTTAAAAGAAAAATCCTGCCTTATCTGAGTAGATTTGGTGACCAAAGCTGCTTCCTTCCCTAAGCACATTATTACAGTTACATGACTCCCATCTGAAACTGGATAGCCCCTTAAAATTGAATATGACTTCCCTTAGAACAGCTTGGTAAGAATAAAAGCCAAAAAATAATAATAGTAAAAATTAAAAAGCATATATAATTTCATTTTCTTTGAAAAACAGTGTCTAAAATTTTTTTTTCAGTCAACTTTAATGAAGAAATTCCCAGTGAAAACAATGGAAGTGATTACTACAAGTGTATGAAGGTAAAGCTATAAATTCTGAACACTAGCCCTAAAAGACCCTTTTTCAACATAGATACAATAATGATATGAATAGAGATTTTAGAGGGGCTGAGGTGTTGCTCAGTGGTGAGCCCTTCTGTGGCATGCCTAAGGACCTGGGTACCGTCCCCAGTACCACCACCACAACAACAAAAATAGAGACTTGATTTTCTAAAAGGTAAAAATGAAGACTTGAAAATTAGGGTAATGAACACCTACCCATCAATTAGTGATTCTTGAGTTATTTGGTTGAATTTGCCTGGTAATTCCCTTTCCTGATAAAATTCAGATACAGCACAGCTGGTACACTCTGTATGCACAAGAAAGGGGAGGAATGATTATGAAACAGGCTTCTTATAATCTCACAAGCTGATACCTTTTCTACCTGCCTATCTCCTAGAGCTCAAAGGCTCACCTAGACAGCCATCCCTGACTCTGGGAATGCTGCACACACCTTCCCTTAGGTCTATTGGTTTTCCTGGTTACCTTCACTGCAAGATGATTATTTGTGTCCTTGGCCCATGTGACTGTGGGGTTGTTTGTGGTTTTAAATTTATATTTTCCTGAGGGACAGAGTTCAGATGAGGCAGGGAGAGCCATGTCAATGGCCTAGAGTTGGAATATCTGTGCTTCTACTCAAGCTGTTACCTTCATCCAGAATGCCTGTGATCCTTTCTCTTTCATACCTTTCCAAATCTGACCCAATTTGTGACAAGAATCACTTTCTGCATTTTCTGAGAGCATGTGGTTTCTTGTGCCAGATTATGATGTATTTGGGAAGAAATAAACACAAACTTGTGTCCTATTTAAAAAAAAAAAGCTCACCTAGAATTTTACCCCCATGATAAAATGTTTATAGCAATTGTGACTTGTGTGTATGTGGGAGAAGGTGGGGGTAACTAGGGATTGAACCCAGGGGTTCTCTCCCTCTGAGCTACATCCCCAGCCCTGTTTTTTATTTTGAGACAGAGCTCACTAAGTTGCTGAAGTTGTCCTTGAACTTGTGACCTTCTACCTGAGCCCCCTGAGTCGCAGGGATTATAGGCATTTGCTGTCTGTATCATTTGTTATCAAAGAAACCATACAGCTAAGAACAATTTAAAGAAACTGTTCACCAAGACATCTCAACTGACATTGTGACTTTTTTGTTGCTGAGATGGAGAATGTGACTAGATTTTAGCTGTTGAATGGAGTTGAATAATTATTCTCATAAATTCAGGTAAATTTCATGTCCTTTAACTGAAATCACAAGAAATTCTATAAAATGGTATTATCAAAGTTACAGTAACTGCTGGGCACAGTGGCATACACCTGTAATCCCAGAGACTCTGGAGACAAAGGCAGGAAGATCACAGGTCCAAAGCCAGGCTCAGCAAATGTGAGATGCTAAGCAACTCATTGAGACCCTGTCTCTAAATAAAATACAAAATAGAGCTGGGGATGTGGCTCAGTGGTCTAGTGCCCCTGAGTTCAATCCACAGTACCAAATTACAGTAACTGATCTGGAATGGTCACACATGTTAGTGTTATTAAGATTTAAAATTAGAGCTGTTATATAGCTCAGTGGTAGAGTGTTTGCCTAGCATATATGAGACCCTGGCTCAATCCCCAGCACCACAAAGGAAAAAAATGATTTAAATTATAGCTGGGTCATGGTGGTACATACCAGTAGTCCCAGCTTCTTAGGACCTGAAGCAGAATGGTATCCTGAGTCCAGATCAGGCTGGGCAACATTCAGAGACCCATCTCAAGAAGGAAACAAAAACAAAATAATTTTTAAATTATTTCAGTCCTGAGACAAACTTACAATGCAAATAGCCAAATGCCAGGTGGAAGGAGATAAAATCTGATTGGATAGTTATGGATAGTGGCACTTAGAGGGGAACAAGAGGGAACTAGAAGGCCTAGTCCAAGTTTATGTCCAGAGCAATACCGGACCCCTGTGAACTCTAGGGTAGTAAGATCAATCAGAGCTGGAATGTTGTGCTCCATTCTAGATGTCACATTTTAAGCGGATTTGGTGTTTGGAAGAGCAGAAATAAGATGGTGATGACTTTGAAGATAGTTCTCAAGATAAATATGTAGAAGAAGAATTATGGAAGTTCAATTTGGAGGATAAATCCATAATTTTTAAAAAATATCTTCATATACTTGCAAAACATGGGAGAGATTTGACTAATCCTTCATGGCTTCAGAAGTCAGAGTTTTAGAGGTATGGGTCCTCCTACCAACACCTTACCCCCACTGGGGATTGAACCCAGAGGTACTTTACCACTGAGCTACATTCCCAGCTCTTTTTATTCTTTATGGTGAGATAAGGTCTTGATAAGTTGCTAAGGCTGGTCTCAAATTTAGAATCCTCCTGCCTCACCCTTTCAAGTAGCTGGGATTATAGGTATGCCCCACCATACTCAGCTAAGAGCTTAGGAATGTGGTTGGAAAATAAGAGGTATTAGAAGAAGCATTTTCTAATAATTATTGTTAATTAAAATATATTCTGCTGCTCTTAATAAGCATTCATAAATATCCTATAACTGCCAGGAGTGTTACAGAGAAGGTTTCTCCCTTAAGTAAGCTATTTATGCAAGATCAGCTTTGAACGTTAATGATGACGATTATCAGAAAAACATCCTTCAGTGAAGTGTTCACAAGCAGGGGCTTAGAAATGGCATTTAGATGGTTGCAGCTCCTCATGCTGCTGGGAGACCACTGACAGTGTGAGCATTCTTACTTCTCATCTGCAGTCAGCTAGGGCTTACCTGAGGCTTTCAGTCTTGCAGAAGAGCTGGGAATTAAGGTGGGAGACTGACAGTTGTATATGAGCATAATAAAGCCAAAAGCTCTTCTAGGATGAATAAAGGTTCCTTTTCTTTCTCTACAGAGTTTCTTTTTCTATAGAGTAGCTCTCTACTCATTCCACTTGCTGCTGTCCTCATCACATACAGAGTCAAATATCCGATTCAGACACCTAGGTTATCATTTCTGCGCTCACCATATTGTGACTTCTTGTGTCACTGTTTGTGTCCACTGTCTTCCACAGTCCTCGACTGTTAGTGAATAGGTAACAAGTGTTTAAGAAACATAACTTCTTTAAAATTACCTTTTGTATAAAGATGCATTTTTATAATAACTGCAAAATATCATCTTAACTTATAAATGAATCTAAAACTATATAGGAATGAGGATGAAATTCAGTGGTAGAGTTTTGCTTGGCATGAATCAGGCCCTGAGTTTGATCCCTAACACCACAAAAATAAATAAGACTATATAAATAAGTTGTTTTTATACCTTCCAATGGCAGATTT